GTGGGTTGTGCAAGCCTGCGGCAGGCTGTGTGCGATCCGCGGAGGGCTGCGGGGGAAGGCGGGTTGGGGGAAAGATCAGCATTCTTTTCTGGAGTCTCCAGCTAGGGTTGGGAAGATCAGCATTCCTTTCTGGAGTCTCCAGCTGATCTTTGAGGAAAGGACTTGAAGCAGAAAAGAAAGAGGCTTTTCTAGGCCAGGAGCAGCAGTTTCTGGAAATGGACAGATAGAGGCTTATCACTGATCACTATTTAAACACAAGGAAACTGAAAGGGCCCCCGGGCAGATATTAAGGTGAGCCTGGGTGGTCCCAGGAGCTCTAGGGAGTGTCGTCAGCACTGAAGGAAACTGAATCAATGGGCAAATCAACCATCTATTACAGGATCACTTGAAGAGGGGATCTGAAAACCTCAAGGAGTAGATGGTGGATACACCCGAATTCAGTCATGGGGAGGGGAGAGTCGGCCCGAGAAAGAAGATGGGATGTAGAGTGAGAAAGAAGATGGGATGTAGAGAATTTCGCTCCTTCTCGGGGGCAATGCCATAGGGATTCGCAGAGCAGATGTGCAGTGAGGATTCTCTGCAGCCTTCTGGGCTCCTTGGAAGACTGGGTTCCCCTCCGCGCAAACCCTTGAGCCTACAAAGGGGCAGCCTATCACCCTCATCCATTTCCAGGGCGCATGGCCCTGAGCAAACCATCTGCTTACCCGGACAGCGTTTCCAGCTTGCCTTTTCACCTGGAGAACATAAGATGAATGGAAAATTGAATCCTACAGCAGTAAGAGCACCTTCTATCGACATCGTTCTTTGCAGTTTATGGAGCATTTCACGAACCTGACCCGGGTTGGGTTCTCCGCTTCCCCGGGGCTGTGTAATGTACTCAGCCTAGGGAAGGCTTCCCAGGGGAGGAGGAGGGCTGCTCGACCTGCTTCAAACATGGCAGAGTCACAGTTTTGAGGGGAGTGCAGGTCCTGAGGGATCCTTTCCTTCTCTGAATCTGTCAATTACCGATATTTAATGAGGATCGTTTTTTGTTTTAAAGGTAATTGTGCCAATAACACTCTCCACCCCAAAACCCTTTCGTTGCTGGATCTCAGATTTTCCTTCAGCCTCAGAAGTAAATCAATCAATCAATCAATCAATCAATCAGTCCTGCTTTGGGTGCATGCAACACCAGTGGCTTGGGCTGGCTTGATTCTAACCCTAGTTAAACCAGGGCCATTTTGTCCCATCTAGGTCTCTTTGACTCCCTCTGCTCATAGTTCAGCACCACCTTGGTCCGAAAGAATGCCAACCAGCCGGGGAAACCACCCCCCCACCCCCGTCGCCAACGATTAGCTTTCCTGGGGTATAACCAAAATATTTTTTTGAAAAGTGATAACCAAAACAAAAAATTAAATTTGCTCATAATCTCCGTGGTTTGAAAAAACAAAACAAAACAAAACAACAACCAACTATTAAAGAGGAAAGTTTCTCCCTCTGCCTGATTCCACTCTTCAAAATAAACCACGGTTAACAACTTGTTGAACAGTCCATCCACTTGGCTGCTGGCTTAGTGTAGACGGACCTAAGTGCGAGTGTACTAAAGTGCCGGACACACTGACCTATATCTTGCTTATTTCCCTTCTTAAGCACAGAGATTTTCCCAGTCATTACCTGTAGATCTAATCCATTACTTTTAGTGGCTGCCTATTATTCTGCTGCCTGGATGTGTTATGATAGATTCAAACCATTCTCCTACGGATGGGCATTTACAGGGTTTTCAGTATTTTTGTTATAAAGAACTATCCTGCCACAAGCATTCTAGTATACATATTTTTGTTTTATTCTATCTCCCAAGACAGACGAGTGGGATTGCTTTTACTCCTGGAGCTGGAACACCAGCCCTGGGGGACAGGCCCCCACCCCCTCCTCAGCCTTGCCAACACTTGGGCCAATCTGCTAGACCAAAAAAATGTTAATCTCCTTGAGATTTTATTTGCATTTCCCTGACTACTAGTGAAGCTGAGTATCTTTTCATATGTTTATGAACAATTTGCATTTCCTATGCAGTGAATTACCTACTCTTATCCTGAAGTCTTACTACTATCGGGCTGTTTTTTTCTATTCAATGTGTAGGATCTCTTTTAATACATGGGATATACTTTTTGTCTCTTCTGTACGAGGCAAGTATTTTCTATCACACTGTTGTCTTTGGACTTTGCTTAGGGTGCATTTTAACTGTAAATTTTAACTTTTATTGTAGTCAAATATATTCAGTTTTTCCTTCCCTTGTTTCTGGGCTGTGTCTCCCAGAATATACTCCCATCTCTATGTCCCTCTTTTGACTTTTATATTCTGACTTTTTTCTATTTAAATCTTCAATCCAGGCTTTTCTTTGTTTGTTGTTGTTGTTGTTGTTTGTTTGCTTTTTATTTTGCAATGGGGTAAGGCAAGGAGCTAGATTTTACTTTATTCCAAATGAAGAGTCAAGGATTTACAAGGATTTAATCAGCAGAAATTGATGCATTTGTTGTTGTTGCTGTTGTTGTCGTTGTTGTCGTTGGGGGAAGGGACTCGGTAAAGCTCCTAGGGAACCGTGGGCCCTGAACCCATCAGACCCTTACCTCCTGGTCAGGAGATGGGGCAGTGGGAGGGTTCCTAGATGTTGTGGATCTCCTAGGCAGTCATGGTTTGGGCCCTTCTGAATGTGTGTGTGGTTTGTTTTGTTTTTAATAAAGGGATTTGTAAGCCAAAACATTGTCCCTCAAAACTCTCCTTATTTATAAATCCAGTCCTGTGTCTAACTCTATGTAACCCATTGGTTCTATTTCAGGAGTGTGTCCCTCTGAGTCCATGGTGAGCTCGCTGACTCATCTCTGCTCTGAGTTGGGACAGAGCAGTAGTGTGCCGAGCCAAGCCTCTTCTTCCAAGCCATCTGAAGATTTATTTAATGTGCATTCACGTAGCCCCAGACCGTTTCCACGTTTTAAAAGGAAATAGGCAGGTTTCTCCACAAGCCGACTAGGAAGCAGCAGTGGCCAGGTTTCTCGGCGGAAAGACTCTTTTATCTTTCCATTTGCAAATAAAGGCACCAATAAACACTTGTTGAATTTTATCATTCTGTTAACCTTCAAATTCAGACTTGTCAGTAATTACTGGTTTGCATTAAAAGGAGATTAGAGATTGAGGTCCTGGAAGGATACCTGATTTGCTGGGAGGCACACGGAGTCACCGGGTCCCTTGTCTCCTTGTCCCCTCCTCCTCTTCTTTTTTATTTATTTATTTTTTTAAGTCAAGGGACAAAAAACGAGTGGCATGGTGGAGGGCACAGGTCTGGTGAGAGAGGACAAGGAGAAGACTTTTGAACATTGTAACGGGCGCCATCTTGGCCTATTTTAATATCCTCTCATTTTGGTAAAATGGTAGGGACGGCTCTTCTGAGTGTCTTTTCTGGGTCCCGCTGCTGCTGGGGGCCTGAAGAAGATTCTGGAGTGACACTCATTTGTCTCTCCCGCTGTTGCCAATAAACAGGAACTATGTGGGAGGAGGTGGCCGCCTTAGGACTCATTCAGGGATCTCATCCTTGAACAGTGTCCCATACTTGGCTGTAGACAGGTACGTGGCTTGGCCTCTGAGGATCCGTCCTCAGCAAAACAGACAAGGCCTGTCCTTCCGGAGCTCCCAGGTCTAGTGAGGGAGGTAAAGGCTGTTTCCCCCGCAGCCTCGTGGGGGAAGCGGGCACTGAGCAAACATTCCCAGGCATATATAATTACAAATGGCCCTGAGTGCTCGGGAGGAAAATCCAGGACACTAGCAGAGAATACAGCAGGAGGGCTGGGTTTAGATTAGGGGGTTAGGGAAAGCAGAAGTGGGGGTGTTAAAGGCTTTTGCAAAGGCGAAGCGTTTTACATATGTGAAAGAAATAATAATAATAAAGGTGCTTGGGAGGGCAGCTCAGCCTCATTCATGGGCCACTTCCTAGATCTCTGGGGATCTGCCTCTCTCTCCCCAGAATTATGTAGGCATCCGGGCTAGGGGCTGGAAGAGCCCTTCACAAATGCTAATCCGGGAGCAGTTTACAGGCTGCCCCCTGACCCTCCGCAGCCTGGCCGGTAACCAGTTTGAATGCTGAGGTGAATGGCAGGGATGAGCTGCATTTCCAGTTTGGGAAAAGGGAGATGGAGAAGCTTTCTCACTCCACTGGGGGTGGGGTGTGGGGGGTGGGGGTGGAGGTTCTCCTACCCCCAAAGCACCCGGGGAATGTTTTCCAAGGGAAAACCCACCTCATGGTGTATTTGGTTGTGAAGGGGGCTACCCAGGGGGTCCGGGGTTTTCCTGGGGAGTTTTGGGGTAGGGGCGATCATCTGCGATGCCCCCACCCTTCCACCTGTAAAACAGTTTGACGAGAATGAAATGAAGATTTCACAGGGGGCGGTAGCAATAGAGAGGGCCATACAGTGGGATTTGGGGGGGGGTGTCTTCATTTCCCCAGAAGACTCGCGATCAGGTAGCATCAGTCAGAGGCTGACACTCACTGGGTGTTCTGCACTGTTCGAAGCACTTTTACAGCGCTCTGTTCCCAAAACAACCCCATGACGTAAGCGCCATTACTAACTGCAACTTCACAAATGAGGGAACTGAGGCACCAAGAGGCGAAGCAGCGATCGCAGCTTTTCGTTTTTTGCTCCAACCATTTGGAGTCCAGGGTTTGGAGCCGAGGTTTGGTCTCGAGGAGGTGTGGACCACAACTTCGATGGGAACCTGCACAGCTTCCCCCGAAATTCGGGAAAATACTAGCTTGGAGAAGGCTAACTCGGGAGCCCGTGGGGACGGGTCTCCCGCTCCTTCCCCCTCGGAGGCTGCGCAGTGGGGAGGCCCGGGTGACAGTGCCGCGGGGGCGGCGGGGTGGCCCCCCTCTAGCCCCCAAGACCCGGCCCAGCGGCTCCGCTTTCTGCTCGGTCTCCGCGAGGTGTCGCCTTCGGCCGGAGAAACCGCCGCGGCGCCACCCTCGTAGCCCGAACTTATTTATTTATTTTCAAACAAGGGGGGCGCCCCTCTCCTTTCAATTTAAAACTAGAAACATCCTGCGGTCTGGTTCCTAAATGGGCGCGTCCTCCTCCTCCTCCTCCCATTCTGCACCCTCGGTGTAGCCTCCCTTCGAGATCACACACCAGCGACCCCACCGCCGGGCCTGGCTCCACGCAGGCGTCGCGCTCAGCCGAACACAAACGCAGTCGGGGCGGGGGTTGGGTGAGAAGCCTCGGCTTCCACCTCCCGCCCCCGCCCCCGCCCCCGCCCCCGCCCCCAACCCCCCGCCCCACTCCCCCGGTACACACCCCCGGAGCCCTCCGGAAAAAATATTTTAATGCCAAGCCATTGCCAGGCCCGCAGGGTGGGTGCTGCATTGCACCGCTCGGCGCGCAGCTGGTTCGCAGAGTGCACCGGGTGCAAGCCCGGGGGTCTAAAAGCGAGGGAGGAGCACACCCCGGGCTTTCCCAGCTTTGCAGCCTCCTCTCTGCAAAGAAGAAAAGCAAGTGGCTTTTGGCGCGAAAGCTTTGGCGCCTCCCCTGATTTTTATGGAAATCAAGAGGGCGGGGTAAAGCCGCTTTCCTCTGCTTTTCTCCCTCCCCCTTGTCTGTGCCGCAGCCCCCTTCTCTCCCCGCCCCCCGGGTGTGTCAGATTTTTCAGTTAATAATATCCCCCGAGCTTCAAAGCGCAGCCAGTGACAGTCATCTGTCTGGACGCGCTGGGTGGATGCGGTGGGCTCCTGGGAACTGGGTTGGAGCCGAGCTAGTGCTAGCCAGGCGCAAGCGCGCACAGACTGCAGCCACCCGAGGACCACCAACCCCGGGCCACCCGGAGACCCCCGCGCAGAATTGCCTCTGGATCCCCGACTGTCGGCGGGAGGTAAGGAGCGGGGGTTGCAAACTGCCCCGCGCCCCCCGGGCGGCGAGCCCGGCGGGAAGGCAAGCCCCGGACGGGATCGCGGCTCGCGCACAGGGCGCTCGAATATCCTCGGGGGACTGTTGCTGCTTCCGAAACAAAACCATCTCGGGGTTTTCCCTGAAAAGCCAGTTCCAGCCTCGAAGGCACCCCGGGTGGAAGAGACCCGCCCTAATCCTTTTTACAGCCTCTGCCGGGGGGGTGTAATGGCTTCATCGGGAAGAAATTCGCCCTTCTCCAGAACATTTATCCGTGTTTAAGCTGACGGGGAGCCGGTGCGTCCCCACCCCGAAGCTGGGGTTCTCCACAGGGTGCCCCTGGAGGAAGAAGAGAGGGGTTAGACAGGGCGAGGCCGCCGCGGTGGTAATCTGGGTCACGACTGCTCCAGCCCCGAGGAGACGCGGCTCTCCTGGCGACCCCGCACCATTCCTGGGAACTGGGGTTCAGGCGCTCCCCTCTCCCAGGAAGACGACATTGTTGGGGGTTTGGAAGAGTGGGGGTGGGGTTAGAGAGGTTCAAAATAAGCTATTGGCAGGACTCTCCCTGCAGCCGACGTATTGCTGAGGGGCGTCTGCTCTAATTTGGGGGGGGGGGGGGCTGTAATTTGGGTTTGGGTGCCCCTCGTTGGTCTCTGTCTAGAGAAAGGCGTTTTTCCATTTGCAAAGTTTCCTAAATGCCCCGCTATCTTTTGCACTCCCGAGGTTGCAATTTTACAAAGGAGGGATTGAGGGTACTCCAGATCTCACGCCTGGTAGCTGGGTTTGGAGCCCTGGGCTTCCTCTGAGCAGCTGGACCTCCGCGGTGCAACTGGGTTGTCGGGGAGCTGGAGAGAGCTGGGATTCTGCAGCCCGGAGCAGCCCCCTCCCCCAGGCACTGCGGAGTGTGAATGAAATGGCAGTTTCCAAAGTTGCAGAGCCACGCCATCACCCCCCGCATCTGCATGCCCCCTCCCACCCCCTGTCGTAGACAGCTTGTACACAAAAGGAGGGAGGGAGAGGGAGAGAGCGAGAGCCAGAACTTCCTCCACCTTCGGGAGCACCAGGCGGAGTGGGGGACTCGGAGGGGAGACCGAGGAGCCGGGGAAGAGGGGGGCGCCCACTGCCCGGCCTCCCCATTCGGCTCCGCTTGCTAACCCTCTCCCGGTGTGTCTGTCGGTTGCAGTGTAGGAGATTGGCGCGGGCCCCCGCCCTCCGCGCCCCCCACGGGAAGGAAGCACCCCCCTAACTAAAAGGAGCCGAGCGGAAAGAAGCCCTCATTCGCCGGCCCGGAGGCGAGCCGATGCCGAGCTGTACTGCGTCCACCATGCCGGGGATGATCTGCAAGAACCCAGACCTTGAGTTTGACTCGCTGCAGCCCTGCTTCTACCCGGACGAAGATGACTTCTACTTCGGCGGCCCCGACTCGACCCCCCCGGGGGAGGACATCTGGAAGAAGTTCGAGCTGCTGCCCACGCCCCCGCTGTCGCCCAGCCGTGCCTTCCCGGAGCACAGCCCCGAGCCCCCGAACTGGGCCACCGAGATGCTGCTGCCCGAGGCCGACCTGTGGGGCAACCCGGCCGAGGAGGACGCGTTCGGCCTGGGGGGCCTGGGCGGCCTCACCCCCAATCCGGTCATCCTCCAGGACTGCATGTGGAGCGGCTTCTCGGCCCGCGAGAAGCTGGAGCGCGCCGTGAGCGAGAAGCTGCAGCACGGCCGCGGGCCCCCGACTGCCGGTCCCGCGGCCCCGGCCCCGGGAGCGGGCGCCACCAGCCCTGCGGGCCGCGGGCACTGTGCGGCGGCGGGGGCGGGCCGCGCCGGGGCCGCCCTGCCCGCGGAGCTCGCCCACCCGGCCGCCGAGTGCGTGGATCCCGCCGTCGTCTTCCCCTTCCCCGTGAACAAGCGCGAGCCCGCGCCCGCCGCTCCCGCCGGTACCCCGGCGGCGGGCGCTGCTGCGGTCGCCTCGGGGGCGAGTGTCGCGGCCTCGGCTGGCGCCCCGGCGGCCGTCCCCCCGCGCCCCGGCGGCCGTCCGGCCAGTGGCGGTGACCACAAGGCTCTCAGCACCTCCGGAGAGGACACCCTGAGCGACTCAGGTAAAGACCGGGCCGGAGGCCGGCTGCCTCCCGGGAGCACTGGAGCCGGAGTCGCGCTCCCTTTGTTACTCTTCCTGGGTTTGGCTTTGCGGAGGGTTGTGGGGGAGTATTTTAGAGGTAGTGCAGGTGGCAGAGGGCCAGGTTCCTCCAAGCCGAGCCCCGGGATGAGGAGGAGAGGGGGGAGTGGGAGCTGCCAAGAGGGTGTACCCCAGAGTCTCCCCCTCGCCGAAGTTCCTTCCACCCTCTCCGGGAGCTCCGACTGGCGCTCACCCGCCCCGCCTCTCCGTTGCAGCCCGTCCAGGGATAAAATTAGGAAACGCTGGGTGGCGAAAGCTGGGTGGGAGTGTAGAGGTGCGCGGGGTGCGTTTTCAGGGCAGAAACCTGTTAGCACGAGGGTGGAGAGGGACCGCCTCCCGGGTCCGGGGAGGGCAGGCGCGGGGAGAAGACACAAAGGCGGTGCAGAATCCTATGTAGGGCGCAGGAAGGTAGAGCGAGGTTGCACAGATGGCTACTACCGGTTTTATTTATTTATTTTTTCAAGCCTGGGTAGTCTTCTCCGCCCTCCGTGGGTGGTGGGCTATTTGCTCCTGGTCGGTGGCCAGCAGGCGGCAGTATGCTGGCCAGCGGCTGGCGGAGGATCTGAAAGGCTGGGGGTGCTGGGGGCACCCCCCTCCCTCCCTCCATTGAGCAGCTGGTGGCAAGGACCACAGCGGTTGTGTACATTCTCGAGGGGCTGCCTCTTTACGGGGTGCAGTGGGAACTGGGTCCCGTGTTTGTCTCTGGCGAAAATTCGGGGACTAATTTCAGACCGGAGTTACTCTGTGACCCAGTGCCCTTCAAGGTGAGGGCGGCCACTCAGGCCCTCCAGGAATCACCCGGAGGCTGCAAGGCACCCTTCCATTGCTTCTGTTGTGTGCCTACGTCTGCCTTAAATGGCAGGGTTGGGTTAAAACCCAGACTTTGCCTGGGACTCTGGAGGTAAAGAACTCTGTCCAAACACTTGGATAGCCCTTGTCCTGGCGGCGGGGAGCTGGGACTCCAGGGGATCATGAAAACCTGCATTCTCAGTGCAGGTGGATAAAAAGCCTGCATTTCCTTGAGGGCCGAGGATGGATCCCTCTAAGGCTCCTGGAAGGAAACTTGGTGATAAGCCTCCAGTTTGAATCGGGTCTGTCCCTTTAATGTCTGTGCCTTGACAGCTCTCAGTGAGGAAGCACTTCCTTCCAACAGCTGTCTTCTTGGCAGAAAACCAAAACATGGGCTTAAAGGGACCCACAGACTGGAACAGCCTCACATTTCGGCTTTAGAACAAATCCCACAATTGTTCAGCTTTCCGGCCTCCTTCAGATCAAGCAGAAGATGTGTTTTGATTTTCATGCTTGCATTTTAAACAATAATTTTCGATCCCAGCGAGGTGGTAGAGGAGGAGAGAGAGGGAAATGCAGACATGATGCTACATGTTTTGGGGTTGCTGTTTCTGCCGCGGACTTGGGGGAAGAGGCGCCCCCGCTTCGGGCTTTAGAGTTCCTGTGGATTCCGACTTCGTCATTCGGATTTGGTTTTTATTAGATGAACACCTGGTTACTCTACGGAACTCAGGTTTCTGGCTGGCAGCTAATTTCTCTGCCTCAGACCATTAAATGGCCCTTTCATTGTAAGGACTTAAAATCAAACTCGGCTCTGTGTCAGTTGCTTAACGAGGTTCCTAAAATGGGGAGCCCCAGTTCTTAAGTGTGGAGCTGGAAATAATGAGCGCGTCTTTGGGTAAAACTGATGATGATAAAAGCTTACCATTCCCTGAGCGTGTTTGTGTCTGCTAGACCCGGTTCTCTCTGTATTACCTGTCCAACTCCAGAACCCCGTTACTGTCCCCATCGAAACTGAGGCTTCTACAGTTTAACTTGCCTGGGGTCCCCCAACTCGTGTGTGATGGAGTCAGATGCCATCCGACACCGAAGCCGAGTTCCTAATTTTGCCACTTGCTAAAGTCCTGAGCGGAGGCTGGAAGGTCTAGGAGTGTGGGTAAGGGGGAATTTCCAGATGTGTTTCATTTCCAGATGTTGGGTAGGATCCTGTCCACATGTGTGGGCGGGTCCCCGATGCTTGGCAAGTGCTGCGCCTGTGGCAGGAGACCGAGTGGAGAGATCGGGGGTAGTCCGTGTGTGTCACCAAAAGAATGACTCCCATCTTGTTCTTAGATGACGAAGATGACGAAGAGGAAGACGACGAGGAGGAAATCGACGTGGTGACCGTGGAGAAGCGGCGGTCCTCCTCCAACAGCAAGGCCGTCACCACCTTCACCATCACTGTGCGCCCCAAGAACGCAGCCCTGGGCCCTGGGAGGGCCCCGCCGGGGGAGCTGATCCTCAAGCGCTGTGTCCCCATCCACCAGCAGCACAACTACGCCGCCCCGTCGCCCTATGTGGAGAGTGAGGACGTGCCACCCCAGAAGAAGATCAAGAGCGAAGCGTCGCCCCGCCCCCTCAAGAGTGTCATCCCCCCCAAGGCCAAGAGCTTGAGTCCCCGCAACTCCGACTCGGAGGACAGCGAGCGCCGCCGGAACCACAACATTCTGGAGCGCCAGCGCCGGAACGACCTGCGCTCCAGCTTCCTCACGCTCAGGGACCACGTGCCAGAGCTGGTGAAGAACGAGAAGGCCGCCAAGGTGGTCATTTTGAAAAAGGCCACCGAGTACGTCCACTCCCTCCAGGCCGAGGAGCATCAGCTTTTGCTGGAGAAGGAGAAGTTGCAGGCCAGGCAGCAGCAGTTGCTAAAGAAGATAGAACACGCTCGGACTTGCTAAACGTTTCTCGGAACTGGACAGTCACTCTGCCACTTTGCACATTTTGATTTTTTTTTTTTTTTTAAACAAACATTGTGTTGACATTAAGAATGTTGGTTTACTTTCAGATCGGTCCCCCGTCGAGTTTGGATCTGGGTGGGGAGCAGGACATGTGGGGGTTCTGCGCGATGGGATGCTTGGGTGGCCCTCGCCGTGTCCTCCCTGGCCCCTCCGAGACCGTGGTTGGAGTTTGTGACAGTTGGGAGCCTCTGGGCTGTTGAAGTCACCTTGTTTGTTCCAAGTTTCCAAACAACAGAAAGTCATTCCTTCTTTTTAAAATGGTGCTTAAGTTCCAGCAGATGTCACAGAAGGGGTTTGCCATTGGATACCCCCTGGGGAACATTTCTGTAAATACCATGGACACACCCGCCTTTTGTATACGTCCTGGGTAATGAGAGGTGGCTTTTGCGGCCAGTATTAGACCGGAAGTTCATACCTAAGTACTGTAATACCTCAATGTTTGAGGAGCATGTTTTGTATACAAATATATTGTTAATCTCTGTTATGTACTGTACTAATTCTTACACTGCCTGTATACTTTAGTATGATGCTGATACATAACTAAATTTGATACTTATATTTTCGTATGAAAATGAGTTGTGAAAGTTTTGAGTAGATATTACTTTATCACTTTTTGAACTAAGAAACTTTTGTAAAGAAATTTACTATATATATATGCCTTTTTCCTAGCCTGTTTCTTCCTGTTAATGTATTTGTTCATGTTTGGTGCATAGAACTGGGTAAATGCAAAGTTCTGTGTTTTATTTCTTCAAAATGTATATATTTAGTGCTGCGTCTTATAGCACTTTGAAATACCTCATGTTTATGAAAATAAATAGCAATTAAATGATGCAGCTTTTTTTTTTCTCCTTAATAACACTAGTGAAAAACCATCCCCTCTATCCCTTAGATGTGAACATAGTACATACGTTATGGTGGCATTTTGGGCTCACTGGGCAGCCCTCACTGGAGAGCGGCCCCTCTCCCCGCCTGGTGTGGAGAGAACGGAATTGAGGAAGGTGACGGTATTTCTTGCAGATGACGCAGAATGGAGACATCGTTTGTGACGGCACCGTAACGACGAGCGTTCAGTAATTTACGGAGCACTTTAAAAAATGTTGGCCATCTAACGGAGTTACACTCAGACACCAGTCCCAGTCAACCCTGTAGAGTGAGAAGTATAATCAAGACGGTGGTGAAACTTGGCTATGTTGGTAATATTTGTTCCATGGGTGGCTTTAGGACGTCATGTAGTTTGTCTCCAAGTACATATTCTTCAGAATGCACTAGGATTGGATTGGACTGCGTTACATACCAGAGCAGAATACAAAGATGAAGATGGTCTCTCCCCTAGAGGAGCACTCTGATGCACAAAAATGCCTCATGAAGCAACAGGTGTTTGGCCCAGATCAAGTGCCATGTGCCTCTAGGAGAGACTGGGGTGCTGTAGTGCTGTTAACTTCACACAGGTGTTTGGGCTGCCGTGCGGTAGCGGGATTAACCTTGGTGGACTCTGGAGGACAGCCGGGGTCTGTGGAGTGGAGGGAGGCATAGTTCAGTTCGGAAGGTATTTCTGAGGTTCTCTGATGGAAGGTGTTACCTTGGCTTCTGAGGCTTTGAGCTCAGAACTGAAAGCTTACATTAACCTATTTCTCTTCGGGGTGAAAAGTAGCGCTCTGGTCATTTGTCTAATGTTTCATTCATCAGAAAAAGGCCTTTGCTTTGCCAAGAAGATAGGTCCAGTGAAGGCAATGCTTGTCTTGGTCGTGGGGCTTGTGAGGGGCAATGATGGGAGAATCCAGGCCACGTAAGTCCCTGTCTGCTTTGGTTATTGTATACAACAAGCCAGTGGGGGATTAGAACTCCCAAGGTCCCCGTCAGTCCAGTTTACAGCCATACAACCTAAAGCTAACGATGTTGGCAGTGTTGCCTTGGACCCTGATGGTCAAAGCACGCTGAGAATCATGAGAATTTTGCTTAAATCTCTCCACTTACCCTAACCCCACATGAGAAAATCAGGAAACTGCTTTGAAAGTCCTTTTTCAAAGGACAGTGTCCATTTGCGTTTCACGGTCCCCAATTACCCTGCAGCCTGGGCACCTTGCGTGTGTATCCATGAGCCAAAAGAAAGTTAAGTGACCTCAAAGTCATGGAGATCTTTAAAAAGATTTATTTATTTTAGAAAAAGAGTGGGCATGTGTGCTTGCACGTGTAAGTGGGGGGGGGGAGGGGCAGAGGGAGAGAATCTTCAAGCAGACTCCCTGCTGAGCAGGGATCTCCAGACCCATGTAATCACGATCTGAGTTGAAACCTAAGAGTTGGATGCTTAACTGACCGAGCCACCCAGGTGCCCCAAAGTCATTGAGATTCTTGAAGCTCAGTTCAATCATCCCTATTTCTCTATTTCTGGGTCCATAAAGGGCCTATCTACGCGTTTTTGGATGAGACGGAACCCTAGCCACAGATGAGGAAAACTTGTGATGAATCAGGCTCTAAACTAATTCCCACCAGGCTCTGTTTTCACTGTGGCTGCTGGGAAGCTCGGAGACAAATTCCGTGCTCTGATTCTACATGCCTGGTGCCCATCCTCTCTTTTCTTCTAAAGCCTACCATCTCTCGTTTTCCACTGTTCATTTAATCGCCCTTTCTATGTTCTTTACTTTGTTTTATAAAAGAAATTTTTGCATTAGGTGGATCATATATATGAATCATCACAGCTTATTTGCCTTTCCGGGACCAGCTGAGGGAAAGTGGCACCAGGTTGAGCTCTGCACTTACCTATAATCTGCTGCGCTCAGAAGAATCGAAACCCTCGTGTCAAGCACACGAGAAACCATCTCTGTGTTCCGAGAGCGGTTTTGAGACTGAGGAATTGTCCCCCATGAGTTAGATCAGTAAATCGTAAGACTTCGATGGAGCATTGAATTATTTTAGTTTATAGGAGGGGGTCGTGGGGTCCCCTATCGAATGAGCGGCTAAACCCAGGACTGGAGTCGGGTCTTTGGATGGTTTTCTTTCCATGGTGTCGGCCTCCCCGCTGCTTACCCTGTTGCCTCCCTACCCCCTGGCCCGTCCGTCCACCTACAGTATGTGTCTGTGTTAATTCTAGATGACCGACCCTGCATTAGAAGCTTTCAGGAGCCCTCCGCCATGTAGAAGATAAAGTCCAAAGCCTTCAGCCTGGCGCATGAGGCTGCTTTGCCCCCCCAGGGCCCCCCCAACCAGAGTTGAGCAGCTCTGTCATGCCCGCCCCTCTGCAGTTGTTCCTGTTCCGGCCACGCCAGACAAGGCCACGCTTTCTTACCTCTTCACTCGTTTCAGCAACATCTCTCCTCCTGGGCTTTCCAGTTTCTGTTTATTGAAATTCTTTCAACCTCAATGGCAAACCCGCAGTCGTCTAGTTCCAGTGGTCTTTCTTACCCCCGCTCCTCCCCAGGTGGGCCTCATGAAGCTCCTGATCTGTTGTCACTGCTGGAGGCAGAAGAGCTCTCCTCATCACCCCCAAGACCTCCTAGACCGTGGGGCCCCTAAAGGCAGGTACTGTGCTCCCTTCCCCTCTGGTCCTTCAGCCCTGCTGGCCTGGTGACTGGAGATGACGGGACCTTGGCGGACGCCGGCAGAACGGCCGGTGGCTGAGGAGGCAGCTGAGGAAGGAGCCAGGGGAATATTTCCTTTATGCACTTGCCTCCTGCCAGCCCCGGTTTGGTTCGAGAACTCTCTGGCTAATCCAAATGGGGGAACATCCCTTAAGGTATCGCTTCTGAATGCCCGGTACTGGCTGCTGGGAGGCCTGTCTTCCGGAAGCCCACGGTCCGGAAGGGCGTTCAGGCCCGGTGCCTGGTGCAGAAGCAGGGAGACAGGAGGGCCTGCGGGAGCGTGGGGGAGTGTTGAGCCAAAGCACAAGAGGGGTTCCATGGCTGAATCAGGCTCTGCAGCTGTGAGCTCCGGTTCGGAGCCCTTGCTCAGTTAGAGGAAGCTGGTTTGCTGGTCTACCGCAGGCATGAGGAGGCTTGGGGACTCTTCTGAGGCCATTGATGGGACAAGGCCCCCTGGCCCTGGGTGACACGAAGCACTCACCAAGGGTGTTTTACACCCGAGTCTCACCACCATTCAGGAGTGCTGGTGAGTTCATCGTACACCCATTTTTGGGAGTTGTGGTTTCTGGGTTTGACTTTCACTAATTTCTGTGGTGGCTCTCCAGAAAATCCTAGTTGGCTTGTTTTTAGAAGCTGAGTTATTCGGGGCACCCTTTCTTCTTTCTTTCCTCCACCACTCGCTCGCTCCCTCCCTCCCGTCCTGTCTTTCCAGCTCTCTCACAGCAAATACTCACTCAGCGCCCGTCCTGCGTCAGGCACTGATTCAGGCACTTGGGAGATATCAACGAAAAAAGAGGCAGAACTTCCCCAAATTCCCGCTTTTGTGGACTTGAGCGTCTAGGAGAGAGAGACAGCAGTGAAAAGAAACCTAATAAGCAGAAAAATGGAACAGCATTCAGTAACGTGGTGGAAGCTTTGAAAGCGAAGACGAGAAGGGGGAATTCAGGGGTGCAGAGCAGGAGGGAGGCTGGTGCCAACTTTGAGTAGACGGTGGGGAAGGTGCACTGGGCAGGAGCTGAGGTGTGGGCCCCGGGAGGACGGCACCCAGCTCTGAGGATTGTCATGGCCGCTCTGCTGGCCACCGGGCATCAGGTCTCAGGCGTTGGGGCTCTTCCTCCTGCATCTCCCCCTGGACATCGGCAAATGTCCCCCACAGCTTCTCATTCAGTCCCTCAAGGGGAAATAAGAGAGTGTCTCTGAAGTGAGACCCCCCCATTGTGAATGTGACTCCCACACCCATAGGCTCCAGGTTGTGCCATTTCCCCAGTGGTACAACTGGGGATAATGGCGCCCCCCACTTCACAAGGGGGCTCAGGGCATGGGTGGGCGGCCACAAACAAACTTTCATCAGCGCCCACGATAGCCCTTGGCACATGATGGGTGCAACGTATGTACGGCTGTTAAATAATCTGATTTCTCGTAGATAGAAGGCTTCCCCTCGCCTCTTCCCCGGTATGTTAGTAGGGCAAAGAATCTCTAAGGGACGTTTGCTGGTCGAGCAAACTCACAAGCCTGAGCGCCACAAGAAGTTTGCAGACTTTTGTTTCTCCAAAGAGGCCTTACAAAACCTGAAAACGGGTACCTTGGAAACAAATGAATGTGAGCTTTGAAGCCTATTTTAAGACGGAGCCTAGGAATTCGAGTGCCTCGAAACATCTATGCCTTCTACAATGGTTTATTAGTTTTCCCTACTTGTAAAGGAAATCTCTTCATAGGCCACTGACCAGGGTTACCTGATCTCTTTTGATATTGATGTATCATGCTACAAGACATTCAGCCTGAAACCTTTGACCAGGAGAAGTAACAGAGCCTTTTTATGGTTGAAGCAGACAGACCTACTGTCTTTCGGAGAAACTTCTGGAGAAACGCACACAGCACATACTCCCATGATAAAGACAGGCGATTTGCTGTGGGACGCGCAGTGAAGAGTTGACACAAAAAACATACTTTCGTCTGCTTTCTAGCAGACCCAAGATTTTCAGCAGCCTTTGCGAGGTGCTGTGGGCTGGGGAAACGAGTCCACTCCTTCACAAATCGGCAGCCCGTTAAGGGTTGAATTTCAGGCGTAGGCTACCCGCCACCATTTTCCTGAGGGAGGGCCTTCCGGCCAACTCTCCGCTCCACAAAGTGAGGTGCCAAGCTGACGGGGAGGCAGTCCTGGGCAAGAGAGATACTTAGTTTGGAGGCAGGGTCTGGGCTTGGGTCTTAGCTCGATTATTTGCTGTTTTCAACCTCGGCCTGGGAGGGT